CCTATTTTTGAAAACTTTTTTATTTTTTTTTGAAATTTACATAGAATTTGAGAGTGATTTTTGAAAAACAAAAAACAGAAAATTGAATTGGTTATTGGTTATCAAACAACTATGTTTAACCAGAAAATTGAATTGATCATCAAACAACTCTGTTTCTAAAAAATCAAAAATAAAAAATAAAAAATAAAAAATAAAATGGTTATGAAACAGCTTTTATATTTTTATTACTATAGTTGACAAAAAAAAAAAAAAATCGATCATATTGGCCAATTTTATAGCTATTGTAAATATAGATCACCCGAAAAATGGTAGGTTTGAGCTCTAACCCATTTCTTTAAATGGTAATATTCTTTAAACAAACTTCAAAGATTAAATGTTGAATTGTTCATTAACAAAAAGAAAGGAAAAGCCCTCTTTTCTTGTAAAAAGAAAAATATAATAAAGTTAAAATCTTTTGGTTGGCAAAGATTTGGAATCTTTTGGTGATATCAGTTTAGAGGTCTCCTACTCCAGGTATAGGGAAGCTATACTCCGACTCCAAAATTTGGTTTGTCGAGTCTAATAAATTGAACGAGATTTTACCATTTACACTTTTTATGAAACTTGTTCATACCTTATCTCATTAATTTGGAAATGAAACCTGCTCTAAAATAATCAAATAAGATTCAAAAATTCAAATTAATGTTTAATTCAACTTGAACATGAACACCTAAACCATATCTTACAAAATAATCCTCGTCACTTATTTAATTTAAGAAATTGCATAAAACACTAAATTGTACTATTGCCCTTCATGGGACATTGGCTCCAAACCTCCATCAGGCTTACATTCAATCTTCACATATAATTAATATAAAAAATTGAACAGCTAACCATTGTTCGGGTGGATATGTACTGGTATCTCTCTATTATCGATTGTACGTTCGAATCTCTACTTCTTATGTAGTAGTGAATATATTTATATATATAATGAATTATTATGGTAAGAACTAAAATTTCATAAACAATCGATAACTTTCTTCCTGCTAAATTGGAGATGGAGTTATTTGGTAACTCAAAATAGGAACAAGCATCCATTGCATTGTATAGAATTCTTTCAATCTAGAAATTTTTTTTTTTTTTGATATCTTGTACCTGTATCAATTATCATTTTAATGCTAACATTAACTTAGCTCAGCAATAATTAGCATATGTCTCTAACCAAAAAGTCGTGAGTTCGAATTCTACACACTACTTATTGTACTAAAAAAAGTATTTGTCATAATATCACATAACTTCATTATTTTAACTAACTGAATAAGATATGCATTCATAAAATTCAACGTGGATTTTCCATCTCCAAAGAAAACGGCCCTCACCCCATATAAAATAAAAAATCTCAATTTTCTTTCCGGAGCTTCGACGCTCACATAAAATTCTTGTTTTGATATGGATAGTGTCACGATATATCAAGATAAGGCCTCATACAATAGGTTTTCTCATACATATATTTTACATATCTAGTTTAAGATTATATTTAATAATTCGAATGCATATCAAAAATAATATTCATTTATAAAAAAATTTGAAAAATAATCTTTAAAGGTAGTAAATAACAATATTGCCAATTGCCACGTTGATTGGCCTACAGAAAATTTTTGCTCACTGTCACTAAATTTTTAACATAATTTATTTTAAATTAAAAAAAAAAAAAACTCCCAAAAGAGTTTCCAATCTTTTAAATTTTGGTTTAACAGAACGAGCCCATAGAAGTAATCTTTTTCTTTTTTTTTTCAGGTATGAAATCTCTAACCTTTTTTTATTAATACAAGGAAGATGAAATTTGAATATTGGTCGAAAATATATGTCTTAATAATTAAATTATGTTCAGATCGTACGAAATCGATCCCATTTTCAATGGTTCCTTTTTATGTTTTTTTTTTTTGTTTTTATGTTTTTTGTTTTTTTTTCTTGCTCTCACCTTCGCTTTGACTCTATAATTGTCCACAATTCATTTTCTATTATTCTTCTTCATAATAATAACCTGGCATCAAAGGACAGAAACAGAATAAACATCTTCTAAAAAGAGGAAATATTTAAGACTCTGTAGGAATATTATTTTGGTTTTGTGTCGAACCAAAAAGAAAATAATAATAAAAAGAGAGGGAGAGTGTTTTTTTTTTTTAAGTTATAGAGTTAATGTAGATATGTCAATTAATTATTATTATTATTACAGCCCATATTTTTAATACAATAAATATGGAGTATAGACTATAGAAATATGAACCTTCAAGTTAAAAAATTAAAGAAAAAAGAAAGACGTGTCTCTATCGTTGAGCTACGTCCTTATAAACTTGATCAATATTAAAATTTACATTATCCAATGATTATTGAACCATTTAATTATATCATACCACATCAATTCATAAAATCTTAGCGAGAATATCGAATCTAGACGCTCTTCCTCGATGAACTTAGTAGAATCAAAATTCAAAATCTATGGATGAAATTTACATTTTTAAAAAATTCAGAAATAAAAGTTGACATAATAATTGAATTTCAACGACCAAATTTATAATTTGACCTGAAATTTCTTAGACCAACTTAATTATAGATAGTACTTATATGTTGACCGATCAGTCCTAACCACAATTAAAAAGTCCATAATTTTTTTTCTTTTTTTTTTTTTTGGGTCAGAAATATAATAGTAGTATTATGAATTATCCGTTAATTATTGTGTAATAATAAAAAGTGATGTACTTGTGGGTACTGCCATATAAGCAATAAATTGCAATGAAAGAAAAATACTATTTTGCCCAAATAAAGCACACCTTGTGCTAAACCAAGTACCTCTTTTAACACCATTTTCTGAACAACAGAACGTACTGTTTTGTCCAATGTCATTTCTTTTTTTCTTTTCTTCTTCCCGATATAAATTAAATGAATTAAATTAAATAAGTCATATTTTTTTAATTTTTAAAAATAAAAAAATAAATTGATTTGGCCGTCCAAGTAGATGACGTCAGCAGGACCCTTCACACGAGGTTTGCTTACGTGGCGGTGCTCTGACGCTGCCACGTCATGACGTCATGCGGTGTAGAAGATACCTTAACTCCTGCAATATCATTGCCCCAAGATTGGACGCTGGCCGTACGATTTGAAAGCTTCAATTTTTATTTTTACATAAAATTAACAACATTTCTTTAATTAAATTAATGAGAATGACCAAACAACATTCCCCATAAAAGAGCAAAAATAATTTAATAGATTAAATTATGAATTTAGAGACCTGACCTTTAAACTTTTCACTTACCCTCTCGATTTTTTGACCATTAGAGTAAAAAATAATTTAAAGTAACAAAAATGGATAGGCCAACTATGTACCAGACATGACCAGTTGACTTTTTTTATGTCACTTGCATCACGTCAAATCGTCACTTGATAACCTATTTAACAAGTCATCCCAATTAACAATTCATTCATTCATTTGAGTAGAAGTGTTAAATACTGACCAAAAATTCTGGTATCGATTTTGTTTTTAGTTTTTATTTTTTAAAATTATACTTCCCCACAACATCTTAATATGTAAGTATGGATACTCCTATTCGTTACCTGTCATGTCAGCATCATATTGAATAATATTTACTAGAATTCTACATCGTTTTTACCTCAACCAAATTTCAAAAACAAAAACAAGTTTTTAAAAACCTGAACCGTTGTGACATTATTATAGGGGTGGTGGGACTCAGATTGAAGGGGAAAAAAAGGGTATGAAAAGAGAGGATTTGAGGACTGAAAATGGGGGGAAATCCAATAAATGGCAATAGTATTTTATGGTTAAGGGTGGTGTTGTTCTGAGGAAGCAGAGCAGCAGTATCACAACTCTGTCCTAAGTACTAACTGAATTGCTTCAACTTCCTCATAATTAAATTTTGCAACAGTACACATTGGTTGGCCTTGGCTTTGATTATGCTCAAATATTCAAAGCAGCCACCTTTTTTTTTCTCTTTTTTCTTTGGAATTCACTCGCTACTGTAAGTTTTTTGGTTCAGCAAAAGCCATTAACACACAACACAGACACTGCTGCTGGCTGCTTCTGCTGTTGGCTGCTGCTGCTGCTGCTGAGGCCATTCTGACACTCTTAACGCACGCTTCAAAATTACACCAACAGAAAATCATCAATTCCATCCCCCTCCACTACTGCAACAAATTCTCCATCTTTTGAACTCAAAACAGCGCCCCCACTTGATCGCTCTCTCTCTAGATTTGACCTTGGATTTCTCTCCTGCAAACAAAAAAGTCGGGAGATTGCTCTAAACCTGTTCAAGGATGTGATGCAAACATTGATCCGAATATGACGCATGTTTGCGATAAAACTAAAAGCAAAATCATATAGACAAAGGCTCACATGCCACGTTAGTTAGAACTACGAAAGATTTTAGACATAGCTCACATGTCATATTAGTTCAGTGAGGTGGGAGATTAAACCATCAACCTTAGGGGTAGAATAGATGTTTAATCCACTTGCATTATACGTCACATACAGCATAGATATATAAGTAAGTTTTATCCATGGAACTAAAAACAAAACCACGTGGTTATAGGCTCATCACACGCCACCTGGACCTGTTGTCTTAACAAAAAGAAGCAAAGCTGCATGAGAGAGCTGGAAGAAGAAATCTGGAAAAGAATTAATGGAGACTTAATTAGGAAATCTTGTTAAGATGGTGGTGGCAGTAGCTAATTAAACTTAAGCACATCAAGAGGTAGCTATCAGTATCAGTATCAGTGGGGGTTTAACTTGTGAAACAAGGGATGTCAGAAACAGAGTAAAGAGAGAGAGAAGAAGAAGAAGATGAGAGGGGGTTGTGGGGACGACAAATTATGAGTCAAAACAAATAACGAGAGGACAGAAAAGCTAATGGAAAAAAGGGCTGTGGGGTTTTATGGGTAAATGACCTCATTCTTGGCGTAAACACTGCAAAAGATCAATGGGGTTTGTTTGTATGTCTTTGTTTTCCAGCTTAAGCATGGAGTAAAAGAGAGCCAAACGAGGTCCTTGATTTGGCTCAGTGATTCAGTCGGATCCCCATCTCATTTCCATTTACAATGTTTCCTTTTTTCTTTTCTTTTCTGTTTTTTTCTTGGGATGGTGTCTAGGGCAAGGCAACCGTAAGATTCCAAAGGTGTATGCCACACTCCCTTTTGTTTTCTTTTTATCACCTCTGAAAGTGGTTTTCTTTTAGATTTTCAAGAAAGGAATGAACCTGACGACTGCAGTCTGTGACTAAAGAATTCTACTTCTACTTATCAACTGCGAATAAGGTTTTAAGTTGATATAGTCTATTAATATGTGAATTCTAGTTGATTCTCAACTGTTTTCATTTTTCTAAAACCAAGACAGAAGTGCTTCAAGTTTGAGCATATTGAAATGCTTGATGTAATTTCCAAAACAGGTCCTCCAAAGTCTCTGGAGCTAGGTACTTGGTATGAAAAATTCCCAGGTAGAAAGTTTGCTCAACTATAAGAAGTTTTGGTGGAATTATATTTGAACCTATTGAACCGAGTTCAAACATTACATAGGTCCTGGATCATCATATGGGATAGGCATTTTATGCTAATCAATTGCCTTCAATGGGAAATATAATCAATGAAATTCTTTGGTCGCATCATAGAGATTTTGAACTCCATGAGCACCTTGATAGCACGCCCTAGTTACTACCTAAGTGAAAGGAGAATCGCGCTCAAGTCAAGGTAGGTCTCGTCTGCTCTGCGACATTCCCTCAGGTCATATATTCATCACTAGACAAATTCATTGAGCCTCTACTCAACCAATATCTGGACTGACCACTTTTGACACGGAGCTTGTTTTTCTATATTCAAGGACAGTGATTATCGTTGTCAGGATCATGTTCCAAGAGAGTTGTGTTGGGTCGTCCTCAAGCTCACCGGGACTGTGCCTTTGTTTTCAGAAAGCAAGTCTAAAACTTCATGGGCGCTTGTTGCGGCTGCATGCATATAATTGTTGGAGCCAAATTGTGGTTGATGGAATCAACCATCAAAGATAAGGTACCCTACAAAACAAGGAGGTCTAGATTAACATATACTGGTGGAATATCTACTAAAGCAACCCCAACAATGCTCAAGTTACCATTGGAAAATGAATTATGCAAAGTAATGATAAAGACTTGAAGCTTATATGTGTATTAGAATGACTTGGTCCAAGTCCAATTGACTCTCTACACGTGAAAGGTTTAGCAATAGGTCACTGATAAAGTGCTTTCTTAAGTGAACTCTGTGAAGCACTTTCAAGGGCATAGTCCTATAAGTTAAGACTACGGCAAGATTTGCTTTTTGAATCTGAGCAGGTTGAGGAATTGCGCCTAGATGGCCATGTGGGGGAGGTGAGGAGCTTTTCTAGATGATAACAAGCCCTATAATGAAGAGGAATCAAAATTTATTTTCTATATTCTTTTTCATTTACAGATAACAAGAGAAATCTAGTCAAAGGAATGCTTACAACAAAGACCTTATTGGCCCATTTAGTATTCTATTTCTTGTTTCTTGTTTTTTATTTCTCGTTTTTTTTTTCAATCAAGAAAAACATAATTGTTACTTGCTTCTTGCTATTTCTTTTTTGTTAAAAAAATAAGTAACCATTTTTTGTTTCCTGACCTCTAAAAATTTAAATTTTATATGAAAATTGACTTTTTTAATTAAATATTCAAATTTTTTATGTTATGGTTAATATTTGATATTTATTGTGTATTTTATAAGTAAATAATGATAAAATAATGTTTTTATTCATGTTTTGATAAAACTAAAACAAGAACCTTGATTTTGTTATTTTCAAAATTTCTATACAATTGCAGAAATGTTTCTTCAAAATGAGAAACAAGAAATATGAACAGTCACCAAATGCTAAAGTTTCTCAAAATTGAAAACGAGAAATAAGAAACAAAAAATACAAATGTTGTTACCAAACAGAAAAAAATTTGATGTTTTTCAGTACATCAAAGCTTGTAAAAAAATTTCAATATATCTAGAATGCTATCACATTGTCAAGTCAATATATGCCATAGGATTGTTAGCAAACAATTTTTTTTTTTTTTATCTGAAATAAATATTTCATTGATGGTATGAAATATATAAAAGCCCCGAAGGCAATTACAAGAAAGTTCTCCAAGATCTTAAGAGAGTAATTGTTGATTGTTTGCAAACAATACTTAAAACAATTTTATGTTTGTCAAAACAGAAGTACCAAGAAAAACATGGTTAGATAACTATTTATTTAAAAAAACAGCCCAACAAGAAGAAAATCCTAGAAAAAGAGGCTCCAATCCAAAAGAATAACCCCGATAATTTAAGAACACCTTAAAAACCAAACCCCACAAATAAGTATTAAATCTAATAAGATCCCAAACAAACTTCATAGACCTCTCCACCCCTAAAATTTCTATAGTTTCTCTCAAAGTCAAATGCACCACAAATAACCACGAAACAGGTCAGACACAAAAACCTACCAAAGCTATGATTCTAAAACAATCTTGTACGACAACACAGAACATAGAAGCTCTCAACCATGAGAATCTAATGCTCATTTCTCACAAAACTGCATGACACCCTCATATGCCGCTAGAATATTAACTAGAATCTCGTTTTAAGTAGCGGCATGCTTAATTAGTAGATGACTTAAAAAAACTGCAAACCAATACCTTGTAGCCTTCTTTTTCACCGTGGAGGAACAATAGGATGATGCAGGAAGGTGGAATAAATTAAACAGAAATTATATATTCGATGGACAACAATCACAACATTGCCAAAGCTGAAAGCGGAGTATCAATTTCTCGACTCTGAACTTTCTCGTTTCACCATCTGGTCGCGGGGCAGAGAAAGAGAACCATCAAGGTTCAAATAACTGCATTTTGCCACCTGTACCATCAATAGAAAACTTAGTACAGAACACATCCAAAGATAATCGCCACATGCAGAGACCAAAATACAAGAACAGCATAATAAGTAATACGTCCACTGTAACCCTGAAGTTCTCAAAAACCAAGTTTTCTGTTTGGAAGTAAAACTGTACAAAATGTAGAAAGCCAAGTGTTCTAGCAAATTTTCTCATGTTCTTTACCAAATGAGATTAAAATAAAAATTTGACTTCGAGTTAGAACTTATCTTTTCCTTATAAACAAATACTAACACTTGCACTGCAGTCAAAACTCGTCACCACAATGAGCAGGTCAGTCACACAGACAAAATGAAAATGGACAAAGGGAAAAAGAACGGAGGCACAAACCTTTGCCCATACAAGAAGATGTTGTCTTTTCATCAATCTACTTTATTACAGCAGTAAAATTCCTTGAGAAATTTGACGATCAGTTCCTCACAAGACTGCTTGGTCTCCAGCAACTCCAAAGTCAGAATACCTGCCAAGCTCAATCTTGCCCTGCCACCTCCACATTGGATGTCTTCAGAGCTTTTTCATTGATACAATGAGCTTCTTGGAGGTAGATACATCAAGATAGCTGAGAGGATTAATCCAATCATGTAATTGGATGCCTTGCCCTTGTAAAGTGTGAGGTTGAATGACGTCAACAAGAAATTGTTGAGTGCATCAGTATTGTTGAAATTGTTGAGTGCATCAGTATTGTTAAAACTTGAGCATGATGCAAGGGCATTTAACGGAAGAGATGCATACTTTAAGTAAATCAATACAAACCAACCCACTTCTTAAAAGTCAGGGCTGATTCTCTCTTCCTTAGTTGCGCTTCTGTTTGGAACTTGGGAGCCTTGCCCTTGTAAAGTGTTTTATGGTACTTTAAGAACAGAGTTCTGTATTTGTACTTGTCAATGAACATGTTATCTTTCTCCATCATCTCCACAACTTCATTTGCTCTAGCAAAAAACCCACCCCTCACAAATGTATAGAGCACAGAATCAAGGAGTTCTTGATCGAACTTCAAGAATGAAGCTGATGCAATACTTTTCATTTCCCCCCACAATTCTGTTACTTCTACATATTTTCCACCAATGGCAGCATACCCGGTTACCATAGAATGGAAAGTTTGAGCATTCGGACAATGTCCAAGGCTTCTCATTTTCTTCAGAGCCTTCTCAGCATCTTGCATCAGTTTCTTCTTACAGAAGAAATGTATAACGTTGTTCCAGTCATGAAGCCCATAATCCACTCTTTGCCCATCTTTTATTTCTTGTAAGAGTTTTGCCATCAATCCAGCTTCACCGTTCTCTGCACTATTCTCAACCAATCTTTCAAATTCTCGATGTCCAGATCTTGGTATTTTAGCTTCTTTCATCTCCTGAAAAAGCCTGAGTGCCCCTTTGTTGTCATTCTGAAGCACTCTAGAGTTGATCAATGCATCATAACAGCTAGAGTCCAGCTGTATTCCAGCCTTACGAGCATCTCGCAAAAGAGATGCAACCTCACCAGTCTGATTAGTTTTACAATAAGCCTTTAAGAGAGAACTATATACTGAAGAACTAGTTCCAACACCAGCCAGATGCATCTCATCAAGAAGGTCGTGTGCTTGATCTAACCACCCAAGTGAAATGCATGCATTAATGACATGAACTAACACTGAATCATCATTAGATACTGGTGACACTTCCTTCTCTGCCTTGATAAGAAACTGAGCTAAATCTTTGATCTTACCAGCTTCTAGAAAAGCCCTAACTAGTTTCACAAGAATAGTTTCAGTTGGTTGGAGAATACCACGTTCAGTTGTAACCAATTCAACTTGCAATTGCAGCTTCGTAAGCAAGGTGCAAAGAATTTCCTTCACTTCACTACCAAGTCTCAAAAAATTTCGATCCATAACAAAATCTTCATAAGAAATGGACTTCCCATTTGACACCTTATCGTCTAATCCATCATTTTGGCAGATAAAGTTTTTCCCAGAACCTAGTCCAGATGATGGTCTAATGTAATTTTCAGAAGTATCACATACTAAGTTAGCTGTACCAAGTGCATTTTTAGCTATGTTTGCTTTCCTGAGCATATCCAAAACCATGTTAGATGCAGACTCTAGATCTCCAAATTTCAGGTGACATGTAAGTAAGCAACTATAAAACTGTCGAAACTGAACATCACTCAGGTTATAGGCTTCATCTATGTGTCTCTGTAATTTCTTTAATTCTTCTCTCCGCCCATTTCTTTCATGTATATGTACCATTACCATCAATAAGTTGGTATCTACTTTGACACCAATTCTAGGCATCATATCAAGGAGTTCTTCTGCCTTTCTAGTTGTCCCAAACAAGACACACCCGGCCAAAGCAATGTTAAAAGTAGTAGAATTGGGCTTCATAGCAATTAAAGGGGCATTACATTTTTTACGTGGATCCACCCTGCCATCTTGAAACAAGTAGCCTATTTCAAGAATCAATTCAGCAGCAAGGTAAGCCCCAGGACCAGTTTGTGACATGTAGGCCAATATTGCAGACCAGGCAGCAACAGGGAGAAACTGTTCCATTTTTATCAACTTTCTCAGAATAGTTGATGCTGGAACTGGTAGCCCAGATTTTGCAAGACTAAAAGACAAATAGATTAGAGGGTCCTTCTCTAACAAGTTCTGTTTTCCTTCTGCAAATGCCTGTTCTACCAAATCATAGGCCTTCTCAAGCCATTGAATTTCAAGACTTTGTGCAAAACCTGTTAATAGTTTATTAACAACGGATTTTCTAGGAAACCCTTCCATCTGCATATGCTGTTGGTATAACTTCCACGTATCATTCAATCTATGCTCTTCAATGGCAGTTTGTATGTCCATACTTAGTTTTGCAGGATCTCGAGCCTGAACCAAGATTCTTTCGGACATTGTTGATAACAACTTGATGTTGAAGATGCATTTATTCTGAAGTCCTAGCACAATAGGTTCTGCATTTGAGTTCCATGGAGAGGAGACAAATGTTCTAAAAGACTGGTAATTGGAATTAAGTGTGCATTTACAGACCCCAAAGATGTTGTGATTAGCACCATGAAACAAGAGATACAAAGCAGAAGGGAAATATACAGCAGCCCTGCAACTTGACTTCATCACATGAAGCATCTTACTGACATTTGCGACAATTCTTCCCAACTGCAGCATGCAAGACTAAGTTCTTCAGTGCTTGATAGTAAAAGTTTAGTACAAGAATAGACCATTTTGTAATAATTTGAAAATGAGGATGCTATTAGGTACTTTTAATTCTTAGTTGTTAATTTATCATTTATCTTAAAGTTTACAATATCCATTCACGGGTAATAGTATGAAAACTAAGCCACCAAACTGGATCTGGATCACATAGAGCAGATAAGGGGGAAAAAAAAGAAAAAAAAAAAAAAAACCTTCTCAACAGCCTAGAAATCAGGGAAGCACATTTTCAATTGAGAATTGACAAATGGGCCAGTTGATCACTCATTAATATTTATTGAAAGAAATTTTTCATATACACTAGTGATGTCTGTCCTAAAAGGAATTAAGAAGAATTCAAATCGTGAAGGAATTGAGTTCCTTTATTTGGTGTCATTCAAAGTAACAAGATTTCAGATCATATCTGGTTCTAATTCTCTCTTGCACTCAAAAAGTTTTCTAGACCAAAAGAGTGGAATTTTGTGAAATTTTTTGTCAAGATGTAAATGGTACCAAACATGGATTTTTATAAAGATGTGACTGATACCGAACATCACTCTGACCCAAGTAATGAGATCAACATGCTCGAATCATTGCAGGACAGCGTATACTAATGTTATGCTGTAAACAAAAAACATAGATTAACAGATTCAAAACCATTCAAAGGCTTTCTTTATTAGAACTGGCAGGAAGAACGGACAACACTGTTTAAAAAGTATATCAAATTACCACCAATAGATATGGGGTCGGTTTCAAAGATGATTTATAATTATCAGCTAGGAGCTATCCTTCTAGTCTGGAACCCTTTCTTTAGGTGGGCCTTCCATTATAGGGATGGTTTTTTTGTATGCTCTTGTATTTCAACGAAAAGCAGTTTCTCATTAGAAAAAAGAATACCACCAATAAAAATAAAAATTATGATCTTATAAAGAAAACCACTCTCCCTATCAACCTTTTCTCAATGCCAAAGCATCGTTTTAATTGTTCAAATTATTAAAGCTCGTCATGATTTCATTTTCATAAATTTGAAACTCTTACAAGATGTCAGAAAGAACTATGAGAGAAGAAAGGATACTGTAGAAACCCTAGAGAAAAATTAGGCAAATAATTCAAGGGGCTCGATTTCTGAAGCTCTCTTTCTTTTTTCGTAAATGGGTTCAAACCCCAAAATTTTTTTACTATTCAAATGGAGCCAAACCCCATAAACTAGTGCCCGACGCCTTCACGATTCACCATTAACATACCAAAATTCATATCAAAATGAATGTTACATAACTCGAGAGACACGCCAAAAAAGAAAAAATAATCATGAACCCATGTAAGCTATGTGGAAATGAGCTCAAATGCCAAGCAGATGAAGACCGAGAATCAAATTCTTCAGTAGGCTCGACCTTGAAGGAAGAATCAGCTAAATAAATATCATGGTGTTGGGAAGTTCAACAATGGGGAGTACTGATTGAGGGGGCGCCAAAAGCATACTTACAGAAAAATTTGGAAACCGATCGGAATAATGGATTCTCGTATGTAGTTTCTGTAAGTTTTCCACCGTCGAAGCCGCCAAGAGAGCCTCAGTTGCTGCCCACTGCCCTACTGGTATTAACTTCGCCAGAAACACTAATTTTAAAGACGTTAACATATAGAATGCTTTATAATTTGGAAAAGAAAATAATTAGAATATATATCAAAAAAAACTATTTGAAAATTCTCTCCTTCCATATGTCAAGTAGCTCGTTCTATTATTTTTCTAGTGTAATTAATTTTTAATATTTAAAATGTCATTCTTTTTTCCGTCTTAACTTCCACCTTTCAAAATGGAAACAAAGATGGAAACAGAGAAATTAACTGCATTATTGCACTTCTTCATTTTTCTTTATTTATTTGTTCTTATCCTTTCTATAAATATAACTAAAAACAACTTTATTATTATTATTATTTGATAAATTATTTAATATAGAATTACTCTGGCCTCTCAATTTTTTTTAGTATTATTATAATATATATTTAAAAATGTCTCTCATAATGAATTGAAATTTTTTATAAAAATTTTAATAATTAATAAAAAAATCTCCTTTGAAAATGGCCTCTGAATTTTTTTTAGTATTATTATAATATATATTTGTCTCTCATAATGAATTGAAGTTTTTGATAAATAAAAATTTTAATAATTAATTAAAAATCTCATTCCAAAGGAAAAATCGCAGGTAAAAAGAATTAAAAAAAGGCATGGAGAAATGTTTTCTAGAAAATATATGTTAAGCAAAAAAAATGAGTTTTTTTAATAATGTTTTATTTTAAACTTATTCTAAATATATATGAACCTCCCAACTATTTATGTTTGGAAAATTATTGGTCCTATGCCACCCCATAATTTCCGAGTTGCATGGCACCTTGTTGGCGTCATGTTTTTTTTTTTTATAATTATGGCATGTGGCAGGACATATGCCAAAATTATTCAAAATTGCTACTCTAGTATAATTGCAGTACACCTACCTTTAATTAAGAGGTCTTCGGTTGAAATTATTTTCTCTTTTAAACAAATTTGAATGTTACCTATTCTATAGCCCTTGTTTCAATAATATATTATTTTAATAGTAATTATTTTATTTTTTATAATTAGTAGTTGCTTTATTCTAAAAAATAAAACTTCAGTAACATTTATTTAAATTTGTCTAAAAGAAAAATAATTACAATAGAATTTATTTTATTAGTACGAGTAGGTATTACTGTTAGGCTGTGTTAAGCCTATTGTACTATATACTCCATAATAATAAAATAAATACGTCATCCTAAGTTCTCATAAAATTGTTAATTTCTAAAAAGATATAACAAATAAAGACTACAATGTTTAGGATGCAATTACAAGATAGAAATCATCCATATTATAAGATGAAGCCCTACAACAACACCATAAAACAAATTCCAACTCACTAAAATCCAACACACGATACAATTAATAATATACTCAAATTTATTAATCAAACCGAGTATAGCTCAAATGGTTAAGACATCTATCTCTGACCAGAAAGTCATGAGTTCGAACCCCCACCCCACAATATTGTACTAAATTAAGTAGGGAGCAAAATTTAAAAGAGGTTGAGAAATGAGACTTGATTTTTATTTAGTACAATATATACCTTGTCTTGCTTCAAATATTAATTTTTGTCAATAATAGCTGTTTTAACTCTTTATTTTCGAGCTTAAATTATGATCCAAAAATACATCTCCGAGTCTTTGAAATCGTTCGCCCTCCACCGAAATTAGTGAAATTAGTCAATAATCGTTTTCACTTTATATTTTAAAGTGTGATCAGAAAAAATATCTAGTTTTTAATTTTTCAATGAAAAAAACAAGAGATAACAAAGAAAACATATTCGAAAAACAACCATTTTTTTAGAGCAATTGCAATATGACAAAAATATTTGCAATATGAAAAAAATATTTAATAAAATAACAACCACATTTAATTGGTTTTTTCAAATATAACACTTTATTTTTTATTTAAAAAAAATAGAGATTCATTTTAAATGATATACATCTCATTATTGATATACATCTAATTATTATTGATATACATCTAATTATTTAATATATTATCTGACTATTGATATACATCTAATAATTATTGATATAAGTATATCTATATAAGTATATCTTTGCAACTCGATACTACTAGTGACTATTGATATACATCTAATAATTATTGATACAAGTGTATCCTTGCAAGTCGATACTTGATACGAGTATTTTGAAAAAGCAATTTTCCTTACTTTTATTATATCTAAGTTCTTTTTTTAAAAGTAAAATACTTCCTCAGCTGGTTAAAAATTGATTTCAATCAAATGGCTGTCAACATAGAATCACTAGTGATAATTTGCCCAATTTTTTAGGATTAATCCCTTAGGTTGACGATTGACATTCTAATCCCTTTTTTAGTCCATTAGTATATTTTAAGATATTTTGTCAAACTGAACGCCACTTCACTTCGCTTCACCATCTAATAATCAAATAATTAAATTATGTACCAAAGTCTTGGAAAAGCTATTCACCTCCCAACATTCATTTTTTAGGAGTACAACAGACGTTTCCAAAGTCAATATGATTGGAATAGCTAAGCTATTTACTTTTCAAAATTATTTCCAATATTTACTTTTTTAGAAGTAAAAGGCCAAAACAGACGTGGATGGTATCATCTACAAGATCATTCACTTCACTTTCTATTTTACACAAGTAGAGGCGGAGCTAGCTGAACCAACAGAAAGCAAAGGCAGGCAGAATATTAAGAGAGCTCATTTTTATTTATGCAAAGTCTGTACTCTGTACTCTATACTCTGTACAAGGGAGTAGTTAATTTAAACTGTGACATACCTTTTATTTAACACTTCTCTCTTGACTCTTGGGTTGTTGTTCCTCACTCAGGCTGATGCTGACCATGTTGCTGGGTTGGCCCTGGGAAGAAGAACTCCTCCTCTTGCTGTCTGAACATCCTCCCCACCGCTTTTCCCGATGTGCCAAATCCCAACTCTCTCGCTATTCTCTCCATCTTGTTTATTATGTTCTCTTTCCCTGCAATTTTTCACTCTACTTTAGGCTTCCAATGGGTTTAAAAAACTTTGTTGGATGGTTTTATGGCGTAGTTGTTTTTACCTGCAAGAAGATACTTGATGTTGCCATCGGCATTGATTTCAAAGAACACAATCTGGAGACGGTGGTTCGGCGCAGCGATGATTGAAAATGGATGCCCTGCCGGAGCTATGATCACCATATCACGTCTCAGCACCCCTCTTATCCTCTGGTAAGAGGACTCACCCCTGTGACCACCGCCGTGGTGGCGCCCACGGTGGGGACACGCCATTTGAAACTCCCCTTCACCGTCTACCACCACCCCTACCTTTATAGCTTTGGAGTTGTAGTGGGGAGCCATCATTGAACCCTTCGGGAACACACAGCAAAAATAAGTTCAGCTGCTGAATAATTATTTGTGTTGTCACTGAAAGTATTATGATTTTCGTGATTTCAAATACTTAATCTCAAAAGAAATGTTTTGACATTTTTTAAAAACTATGATATGATAATTATAGTTATAATTAATGAATTACTCCCAAAAGTCATATTCTGCCAACTTGCAGGGGGGATATGACTACTTGGTTCTTCTAAATTTTTGGAGGGGAGATATGACATGATTCTTCTAAATTCCTACCAGCTCACTAACGACTAACCCATTATCAGTATCATGTGATGCAAATTTAGAAGAATCAGAAGAAACAGAAACTTTCGTCCCTTCTCTAGAATAATCAGATTTCATAATACTTCAAAGGGGTCTATGAAGACTAATAAGCCGTGAACTTTCAGCAATTTTGTAATTTAACCAATATTTAGAAGACAAAAAATATATCCAGCATTTCAAACCGCATAATTTAATGAGAGGGAACAGGTAATTACTTCTGTGAAGTTGGCAAAGGAGACGGCAATGCCGAGGTCTTGGAGCTGGCTGAACTCGTGAGGATGGGCTATGAAGAAGTGACCGAACTTGTTCGACTGCCATGGACTTTGCTTGAAGAGATTGAATGGGCGTTCGGTTTTGCCTTCTGAGAAGGGCCAGATCCTCGGGATGATCTCTTCTTGTTGGCTAAGTGATTGGATCTGTTCTCTAGAAGCCCTCATTATGGCCCCTCCTTTTTGTTGCTTGAAAAATCTCTCCAACTCGTCTCTTGGAACCTGTTTGGCAGCCAAGAAAGTTTGAGGGAAAATATATGACAGGCGCACTGTTTACACAGTTTGGAAAAAGAATTTTGATGACCTTCAAGGCTGCTTCAAGCAACTCCCAGCTGAATGCTGTGTAGAATGATTCTGGGTTATCTCCACCTGGCCCATGGAAAACCTGCTCAAATTCAAAATATTCACTCACATGAAATAAAAGGTGACCCATAATTTAAGATTTGGTTAAGTTACAAAATTTGTCCCTAGAATTTAAGGATAGTTCCAATTTGGTCTCTATATAACTTCATAATAATTTGGTCCCAGCTTTCAATTACCCATTTAAAAACCTCTCGTTTTCCATTTTTTATTCTCGTTGGTGAAGTTACAAATTTGTCCCTACAATTTCAGGATGGTTCCAATTTGGTCTCTATAACCTCAGATTAATTTGCTCAAAGTTTCCAATTACCCATTCAAAGATCTCACTTTTTCTCACATTCTACTCTCGCTGTCAGTAAAATAAAGAGAAGAATATGACTGTGGAGAACCTTACTACAGTAATATGGACAATTGTACCAAATAGAAAATTTTCAAATTACCACATGGTTTTTTTTTTTTTTTTTACAAAAGAAACTTTTAGGATACGAGTCTAAGTGACCACTGAAGTCTTCAAGTCCTCAAGTAAGTTGTTGAACTCAGAAAAAACAAAAACCAACCAACCAATGGGTGTTCTAACTCTCCTGTAATTTTTTTTTTCAATGGGAAGGGTATAACTGAAAATGTCAAAAGAGAATAACACAAAACTTCACAATACCCAAATATTGTAAAATTATGTCCAAATCACATAGACCAAAATTTTTAACTTAACTTTGAAAGTAATAAAAAGTAAATAAAGTCCAATGCACAGAAAAGCTTTGGCTACCTCAAATTGTCCAGGAATAGAGGTGGCTTGAAGAAGCTTAAAAATCCTCAGTTTCTCACGTTCGTCCTTGTTTGTCAAATAAAACGGAGCTCCCGATGGAACTCTGAACACATCTCCAGGTTTCAGTTCGAAGCTCGCTCTCCTCTCCCTGATAACGGTAATCGTAGCCCGCCCTGCACCAAAATCCCAAAAGAATCATTTTCACAAACACCTTCAGCGCAACAATTCGACGCCCAACCCAAAAAAGCAAAAATCACGTTACATACCTTGAGCAACGAACAGAATAATCTCGGCATCGAAATGGCTGGGAGCCACGAAGGTCGAATGATTGGCTTCGAGAATCGAGATCCGGAAGTTCTCAATCCCGCGGAGAAGTTGGGATTTCTGGGTGAATTTGGGAAGAACCCTAACCGTGCCTTC